GATGCTAAAAAATTAATAAATCTGGAAAAATATATGACATTTATCTCTTCAAAGAAAGAAATTTCAAATGAATTTTCTAAAAGAATAATAATATTAGAAAAGATTTGTATGCAAAAGACACATTTGAAATAAAATGACATAAGAAAGTTAAAAATAAATGGATAGAAGAATATGTAAGAAAATTAATCAAAGCAAGCCAATATAGAAATAGTTACAGCAGGTAAAATATAATTCTTGATAAAACCATTTATAGTAGATAAAATAATAGCCACTCAAAAACCCTGTCCTAATCCTGGAAACCTGTGTATGTGTTGAAGAGAAACTTTGAAGATAAGATTTAGAATGGAGAGATGGAGAGATTATTCTGGATGAGTTGGGTGGGTCCAGTAAAATCACAAGGATCCTTATGGAGGGAGACAGGGGGGTCAGAGTCGAAGAAGCAGGTACGGTAACAGAAGCAGAGGTCAAGGTGGTGTGGGCCATGAGTCTGGGAATGCAGGCAATGTCTAAAAGCTGGAAAAAAGCAAGAAAATAGATTTTCTCCTAGAGCCTCCAAGAAGAAGGCAGCCTTCTTGACTCCTTGATTTTAGCCCAGTGAAACTGATTTCACACTTCTGCCCTCCAGAATTGTGTGGTAATAAATTTGTGTTGTTTTAAGCTAATAAGTTCGTGGTAATTTATTACAGCAGCAATAGAAAGCTAATACAGATTTTGGTACTTGGAAGTGGAATGCTGCTAAAACAAATACCAAAAATGTAAGAAGCGCCTTTAGAATGGGGGAATGAGCAAGAACAGGAGAATTTTGCAGAGCATGGTTAAGAAGAAAAAAGCCTAGATTGCCTTGAACAATGAGGGTTCAGAGGAAGCAAGGCGCAGTCCTCCCTTGTCTTAGAAAATACCTGCATCATTATAAACAGACCTTTGAAGGCACCGTTAGTGAGTGAGGATTCAGAAGGAAAGGAAGATTGCGTTATTGGAAATTGGACGAAGGGATCCTTGTTACACAGTGGCAGAAAGCTGAGTGGAATTGTGTCCTATGGTTATGTGGAAAGCAGAACTTGTAAGAGTTGAACTTGCGTATTTAGCTGAGGGATGTCCCAGCAAAGTGCTCAAGGTATGACCTGGTTTCTTCTTCCCGCTTACAGTAAAACACAAAAGGAAAGAGCTAAATTAAGAGAACAACTAGTAAGCAAAATAAAACCAAGACTCGATGATTTCAAAAATTCTCAGTGTATGCAGATTGCAAAAGATGCTACAATTAGGAGATTCGCCATCAGAAAGTGTGCTCTGGAGAGGAAGCCAAGAGTGTGGCTAGACAGCCTTTTGCTGTTGCCTCAGAAGTATCCAAAGGTCAGAGCATTTGGTCACATCAGGGCTTGTTGAAGACACTAAACCTGCGGGAGGCATGGATGCTCCCAGTGGAAGCCTAAAATGGAGATGGGGTTGTTCTTCCATGCCTCGTTTGTAGGAGCTCTAATCACAAATGGGTGTGGAGTTTGTCAAATGCCTTTTCTGCATCTATTGGAGATAAAATCATATCCTTTTTCACCTTGATTCTGTTAATGTGGTGAACAGCATTGATCTTCAAAGGTTATTATAATATAACCTTTTGTTCCTGGGATGGACCCCATGGGTGTGTTAGTCCTTCTTCTAGATTGCTTGATTCGATTTGATAATACTTTGTTAAGGATTTTCACTTGTGTGTTCTTAAGTAATAGTGATCTGTAA